GCTCACATAAAACAAACAACTCAGCCTATAAACCATGTTTCTCCAAGAGGTCCTGATTTCATTTTTTACATGATCAGTGGGACAAACCTGAAACACAGCTTCCTCAAACAAACCTATGTCCAGAATAACATTTTATAGTCTATTCCTTAACCTATAAATTGGATTATGTAACAATAACTAGGAAGCAAGGACTTAAAACTGTCAAGGTTGGTGGATGTTGTTGAGGACCCAAATGCAGAGTAGGAGGAGGCTGAGATGAGTTCTTGCAGATTTAATATAGAAACAAAAGGCAAAAGAAGAATAAATGCAAAAACAATAAATAGGAAAAGAAAAATACCAGGAGACACACATTAGGAGTAAAGCAATGAAGAGGAACCAGCACTGGAGTATATATAGAATAGAATAGAATAGAATAGAATAGAATAGAATAGAATAGAATAGAAAATCCCTTTCTTGTCCCACAATGGGGGAATTCTGGTGTTCACAGCAGCAAAAAGATTATAGAAAAAATGGTCACACAAATATGGACCTTAAAAAAATGTATAGGAATAAATGATTTTATCTCACATTGAATACTGCATCACAAGTTGGTCTCTCACCACAGTTACCAATTTAAAATTAATTGAATCACTGTACAAAAAAATCTCTTAAAGTGTTTGACCAAAAACCCAATTCTTTCCATGTATGTAATATTTTGAGCAAGTACAATCTTTTAAATTTTGAAAATTTTATAAATTTTAAGTATGTATGCTTCATTTATAAAGCGCTGCATGGACTAGCCCCGCCTCCTGTGTCTACTCTGTTCAAACCCAAGACTTTAAGTGGCCTGAGAAGCAGAGACTGTGAGGTTCCTCACAGAAGAACAACTTTTGGTCAGAACACTCTCTCTGTGAGAGCCACTAACATCTGGAACAGTCTTCCTCTGCACATACGGGAGAGCCCTACACTGATCAGCTTTAGAGCTCAACTCAAACTACAGATGAAAACAAACCAGTCATGTGACCACTAAACTCTTAACATTTCCTTGTGATGCTTGTATTGTATATTATATGTTTATTCTTATGTATTTGCCTGCCTAGGGACTACGGATGAAAACTAGCTTTGTTGCTGTAATCCGGCATATTTACATTTGTTTTTATACTGATGTTCATTAATGTGCTTTGTCCCTATTCAAATAATTAAATAAATAAAATACTAGTGAAGACTTAAAAGATAAACAATAACATACTGTTCTGTAAAGTGTTTTAACAATATAAACTGTGCACCTGGAGAATAAATAACCGATATCCAGCTATGGATATTTTTACAGTAATGGATATTTAAAAATAGCAGCAACATCAGAGACGTGTGTAAGTTAGAAACTGCAAAATCAGCATGAATGGAACAACTGATTGAGGTTGTTGGGAACAGTGGTGGTTCTAGAGTCTTCCAGGAAGGATCTGTGATAACGCTCCCTGGTGCATTTAAGGTGCAGCAGTCTGACACTGAAGGAGCTGTCCAGTTCAGCACCAGCTTCATGCATGGGGAGGGGGACATTATCCATCAGAGATGTTCATTTAGCTAGCATCTGTTTCCCACCTCCTGCACTGAGTCCAGAGGGCATCCAATCACAGAGCTGGCCTTCCTGATCAGCTGATCCAGCCGCTTCCTCTCAGCTACAGATAAGCCACTGCTCCAACAGACAGCTCCATAGAAGATGGCTGATGCTACAACAGAGTCATAGTAATACAGTTTTTCACTGAAAGTTAATAGTTTAGGTCAAAGAAATTAGGTGTAGGGATACATTTATATATTATTTTTTTATTGTCTTTGCATTGTAAGGCCTAACTCTGTGTAACTTTCTACTATCTACTATATCCCCCCCCCCCCGTAATTGACATTTATGCACTATTTTTGCACGCCACATATCACTTTTACTTGGATCTTCACTTTTTTTGGATTTAGTTTTACATATGCATAGATATATGTAAAGATATATATACAGAAGAGCTATATGTGTATATATTTTATCTCTTTTTATTCTTATTTTTTTTTATCTTTATTATATTGTATAGTTGGATGTGTGTATATATTATATAAAACTGTAACTGGAGAGTGTAACAAAAGTAATTTCCCTCTGGGATTATTAAAGTATTTCTGATTCTGATATCAAGCCTTTATTGAATGATTTAAAAGATACTGTAGGTGTCATGAGTGAGAATCTTATAACCATGAGTTTAGTTCTTGTTACACAAGAGTTAAAATAACTGCTAATCTTTATATTATATTTTTTTGTCGTTCTGTTAGTGTTGCACCAGCATTAGTTACAAAATAGCTAAGAAAAAAATGCAATTCCTTATAAGTTTCTTTGGCCAGTAAAAGATGGAATGGAGTGAAGGGTTGGAAATTATACATTTCAGTGTTATTATTTAATAATTATAATGGAGAAGCGTAACTTAATTGTCATAGGTTTTATTTATATTGATCTTTATCCAAAAATCTAATCTTTAAAATTACATGCAAGCGAGGAAGCATTATAAGGCAATTATTTTTTAATGTAGCACCATCCTGAGGGTACTCCGGGAGTATGGAGTACCGGGCCCTTTAATAGGGGCTGTTAGGTCTCTGTATGATGGGTGTAAGAGTCTGGTCCGCATTGCCGGCTGTAAGTTGGACTCGTTTCCGGTGAGGGCTGGACTCCGCCAAGGTTGCACTTTGTCACCGATTCTGTTCATAACTTTTTATTGAGAGAATTGCTAGGCGCAAGCAAGGTGTTGAGTGGATCTGTTTTGGTGACCTTAGGATTGCATCTCTGTTATTAGGAGAGGATGTGGTTCTGTTGGCTTCATCAGGGCGTGATCTACAGCTCTCACTGGAGCGGTTCGCAGCCGAGTGTGAAGCGGCCGGGATGAGGATCAGTGCCTCCAAATCCGAGACCATGGTCTTGACCCGGAAAAGGGTAGAGTGCCTTCTCCGGGTAGGGGAGGATGTACTGCCCCTAGTGGAGGAGTTTAAGTATCTTGGGGTCTTGTTAAAGAATGAGGGGAAGATGTAGCGGGAGATCGATAGGCGGATTGGTGCTGCGTCTGCTGTGAAGCGTGCCCTGTACCGGTCTGTTATGGTGAAGAGAGAGCTGAGCCAAAAAGCAAAGCTCTCGATTTTTACCGGTCGATCTACGTTCTTACCCTCATCTATGGTCATGAGCTTCGGGTCAAGACCGAAAGAATGAGATCCCGGATACAAGCGGCTGAAATGGGTTCTCTCCGTAGCGTGTCTGGGCTCTCCCTTAGAGATAGGGCGAGGAGCTCAGTCATCCGGGGGGGACTCGTAGAGCCACTGCTCCTCCACATCGAGAGGAGCCAGTTGAGGTGGCTCGGGCATCTGGTTAGGATGCCTCCTGGACGTCTCCCTGGTGGGGTGTTCAAGGCACGTCCCCCAGGAAGGAGGCCCAGGACCAGCTGGAGAGACTATGTTTCTCGGCTGGCCTGGGAGCGCCTTGGGATTCCCCCGGAGGAGCTGGACCAAGAGGCTGGGGAGAGGGACGTCTGGGCCTCCCTACTGAAACTGCTCCCCCGCGACGCGACCCCGGTTAAGCAGAAGATGGATGGATGGATGGCACCATCAAAACTATTATCCTTTAATCTATATAATATATAAAATAAATGAAAAGACTATATAGATGTATAAGTATTTATTATGTACATAAATGATATTTGCAATGTGTCTTCTGTTATGAAGTTTGTACTTTTCGCAGATGACACTAACATTGTATGCACTGGAGACAACTTGGAGCAACTTTTGGCGCAAGTAACAATCGAAATGAACAAGTTAAAGAAATGGTTCAACAACAATAAATTATCATTAAATTTGAAAAAGACTAAACTAATGTTATTTGGTAAACGGAAAACTAATGTCCCAATCGAAATTATTATTGATAATGTAAGCATAGAGAGGGTTAAACAAAATACTTTTTTGGGTGTGATTATAGATGAGACATTGTCCTGGAAAGATCACATTAATTATTTGCGCTCAAAAGTTGCTAAATGTGTGGGAGTGATGAACAGAGCACGTCACTTCCTCAACCAAAGTGCATTGTTCCTTGTGTATCACTCACTTGTCATGTCGTATTTGAATTATTGTATCGAGGTTTGGGGAAACAATTTTAAGACCAATCTTCAGCCCCTGGTTACACTGCAAAAAAGAGCCATTTGAATTGTTCATAAAGTCAATTATTTACATCCCACAAATGTATAGTTTTTACAATCCTGCAATTTAAAATTGTTTGATCTTGTGAACTTAAGAACCGCGCAAATAATGTTCAGAGCATCAACTGGCTCTCTTCCAGAAAATCTGTTAAAACTCTTTCAGGAGCGGGACGCACTTCGCACTTATAATCTTAGAGGGGAAAATCAATTATACCAACCAAAAGTAAGAACTACCTTAAAATCAATGTGCATCTCAAGTCATGGTGTCACCGTCTGGAATAATTTAGCGGAGGAACACAAGTGTTGTGAAAATATAAATCGTTTCAAAAAAATATTTGAGCGGGATGTCCTGAGAAAATATCTGGAAGAGAGTGAGTGATGTTCTATGAGGGTGGTGTGATGTAGGGAGGGGGTTGCAGGGACGGGGAGTGTTGGGCCAGTGTATGGTCTTGTATGCATGAGTGTGGATGAGTTGTTTGTCTTGTCTTTGTCTTTTCGTTTGCAGGTGTGTCCTTGGGATGAGCGGGAGGGGATTGGACATGTATAAGCTTTTGCTTCTTCCATCCCCTTTTCAAGCCATGCATGTATTGTTTGTCATTATATGTATTGTAAAATGTGTGCAGGTTTGAAATAAACTTTTTGAAATGAACTGAAGTAAAAATCTGACCTAAAGGACTGTTATATGCAGGGTCCAAAAGGGGCAAATACCCCCCAAACCCTAACCCCCTGCAGATGACGCATTGCATGTCGTGATCAAGTGCTAAAGAAAAAAAAACTGAACACAATTCAAACAATAAGATTAACGACAAACAATCATCTGATCCACTAATGATTTTATTCAGATAATAAACAGCACACATTAAAACAGATTATTAGAGTAAAGCAAGCTAGGAACCTCATTTTAAATGGGTTTCTTCAGTGTTTGATACATTTTCTATCCCATAATCAGACCTATTATAATCACCACAGTGTAAGAACAACACTCATTAATTAGGTTACAGGGAGCCCACACAGTCAAACTATTAGATTAAACCACCTCATTGATATTTAAGGAGGCATTGGTCTACTGAGGTTGTATAATAAGCAAATTGATAGATATGGAGAAAAAATTGATATAATGATAAAATATGACTCAAGAATATGACATGATATATTGTGGATGTATCCAATCAGAGACTTGATCCTTGGTCAAACTCAGGCACAGATGAAGTTGAGTTTCTCCTCACAGTCCCTGCTCTCCCACTTCCCCTCTTTGGTCAAAGCGCCGCAGCGCCTCAGCCTCGGACACTGGTAGTCCCGATCCCCTTTTGTTGTTGAGGCCGTGTACAGCACAGGGTCTCCGTTCACCCACATCCAGCTGTCTCCAAGGTAACGCATGCCGATCCACACCTGATGAGTCAAGGCTGAATCCTCGATCTTTATCTTAGATATATAGTTCTCTACCTCAGAGAGCAGGCTGATGAGGTCGCCATCATTCTTTCTGCAGTGCTCCAGAGCATCCTCCCAGGTCTTCCTTTCCTGGACCACAATCATGTTCAGGCAGAAGAAACTCTTAGTATCAGTCCCATCCTTCCAGTGCCATCCATCATGTTTCCAGTAGACATTTTTAGCCGTATCCCATTCACCAGAGTTCACAACTCCGTGGTAGGTGACATTGCCACCTCTCCACCATTTCCAATTTCTCCTGTTTGGATGCCAGTACATCCCGATCCATCCTTCCCTTGGTCCGTTTTTATTCACATATTCTTTGAACACCCGCTCTTTTTCTGCACTGGTGAGGGATACAATGTTGGCATAGTTTTCCTGGCAGTAATCCTTTGCATCCGCCCACCTTTTGGGGGGACTGTCAACAAAGACATATTTTTCACCCCAACAACAGGAACTTGTGAGAATAAGAAAGCAGAAGATGATCTTCTCCATCCTGACAGCAACTTGGAACTGAAAGACCTGAGACTGGTTTCCTCCTCCTCTCTATAAAATGGGGAGAATACAGAACATTTTCATAAAAATACTATCCACAAGCGCATAACCAAAGCAGCCTTGAAGACAAATGTTTTCCCGGTGAACATTCAAAGTGTTTTTCTACATGCACTCGAAAGGAGAAGCAAAGCCTCCCATCATTAAAACATGAGAATTTCTAAAGAAAACACTTCAGCTTTGGAGACGAATGCAAACCCTGTTGAAATGTTTGCATGTCTTCTTTCCTCACTCTCTAACCAAAAACATGAATGTTTTGTGCTTGAGCACAAACCAAATAGAGCATGATGGCCAAGTAGAAGGAAATGAATGGATGGTTTTAAAAAAACATTAAAAAAATTTATCATAAAAAGAAATCAGGGAATTTGTCAGTCCTTCCTGAGGCAAAATTTTATTCTGTTGTGATATGCACATATAATTTAGGCTTTGCCTTGTTAAGATTATGTTAATTCACTTCAAATCAGTTTATTTATACAGCCCCAATTCACAACACATTTCATCTCAAGGCACTTTACATGGAAAAAAATAATGCAACCCCTTTTGGTATTTACTTAATCGTATTCAGTTACTTTAACACAATGGTTGCATATCCTACCCTGCTAAAGCGGTGCATACACTGTGCAATTTTATCAATCTTTTTACTTGTCATTAAAGATTAAATATTTATCTTGCACATCTAAAAAACATATATCAATATATTTTGAAATATTTAAAATTTAAATTAAATACTTATTTATTTGTTTTTTCTTAATCAGGATCAGGGGGTGGGTTGAGCGGCGCCTTAATTTTGCAACCGCCACTGATAATAGTCATTACAAAAAAGCTAAAAAAACAATCTCTGTTTTTCAGGTTTGAATACATTTTTTTCTTTATTGAAAAAGCTTCCTGGATATGAAGTGAAACATCTTCAAACAAAGTCCAGTGGATTATTTTATTTTTTTTACTTTTTTGGAATGACAGAGAATAGAAGAGCATATGTCTCCATGTTCCTCTAGGAGCCTTCTAAATTATTAGTAACACATAACTACTCAAACTATGAAATGTCAATATTATGCAGAATCATTGAGTTTTAATTTATGCTGCATTGATGTCGAAATAAGGCCTTTATGAAAATCTACTCTGTCTTCAGTAATTTTTTGGGGGAAAAAAACAGGTTTAAGCCAGATTACATACAAACTAAGCTAAATTATACAAGCTTTGACAAAACAAATGGGCCAAAGTTCCTGCCACCTTTTGTGAAAAGAAAGGATATCAAAACATTTAAATTCAATTCAGTTTATTTCTATAGCACCAATTCACATCATGTCATCTCAAGGCACTTTACAGATCACCAGATCATCCAGTCAGGTTGTTTCAGAGTTTTCTATCTAAGGAAAACCAGCTGATTGCATCAACTTATTGACTCGCATGCAATACACTAAGCATGCTTGTAGCGACAGTGGAGAGGAAAAAACTCACGTTGAACAGGAAGAAACCTCCAGCAGAACCAGGCTCAGTGTGAGCGGCCATCTGCTGAGGCCGACTGGGGTTGTAGGAGACAGAAGCAGACATAGAAAAAGAAGCATAGATACAAAAGGCAACTGTAAAAGGCGGCCCGTCCAGGAAACACACAGCCAGGCAGACGAGCTCCGGGCCAGCTTCCATGTCAGAGGATGAAGAGAGCACATCCAGTTAGTCACAGTCAGAGAAACAGGACTATACTGGAAAACAGGCCAAGCTCCAACATCTAGAAACAAAGGTGTTGATGGCAGCAGCACAGCTGATATTTCTCTCCAGGATGGAGTCACAGCCAAACAGGAACAGACCAGATGAAGCTACATTTGACCCATGCTGAGTACTAAATATACCGTACATATATATCAAATATCTTAACAAAATCCACAATTTCCTCCAGTGTGGGAGAATAGAGAGATTTTCTATTCTATTTCTAAAATTTGGGTTAACTTTTGACCTTCCAGAATGTAATAAAACAATTACCAAAAATGGATCGCTTTAATTTTCTGACATTTAGAATCTAATAATCTTAAAAACTAATAATTAATTCTAGAAATCCTAACACAACTAAACCAGGAATTTTATTCAGATTTTATCTCTGACAGTTAGGAAGAAAAAAAAAGCATATGTTTATTTATGTGGGGTATGCAAACTTCTGGTTTTAAATGAGCTATATATGAATTGTGTATGCAGAATATAATTCAACACTTCAATAGGATCTTATATTAAAACCAGGATCATGTGATTTTATACCCCCATTTAACATCTAATACGACATCCAAATTATTGGAATTTTTTTTTCCCATTGTGGTGTGATGACAGATAATAGAAGTTACTCATTAGCTTTGTTTAAATAATGTGATAAGATATGTTCTATTTTCCATATTTCTTCTGTATATTCTCTGGCTACTCACAAATATTTCAGATCATCTAACAACCTTAAATATTGCAAAAGTAACACTTGAGTAAATACCAAGAAGATTCATTATTTGAATCTATTAATGGGAAATAAAACACAAAAACTAACTTATATCTTATTAACTAATCCTAATATCTAAAAATAAAATCTATAAATTTTTTGTCAAATGTTTATTTAATATTATTTTAAAAAATATGGTTAAAAAAATATTTAAAAAAATGTATTCATACATTGTTTATGGATTTTTTTAGCTTGAAATATTTTTAGTAGGCACACTGATTCCTGTTTCATGACTGAAATTATAGGAAAAGAACGAGCTGATAATAAAAATAATATTGGAAAGCACCATAAATATGTTTATTTTTCCTTTAATTGGCTTGGAATCTGGATGTTTTGTTATTAAACAATTTGTTTACATCAAAACACATGCTTCAGTTATATGAATCCTTTTATTTTTTTCCTTATCTTAAAATAATCCCAATAAATTATTGGTTATTTAAAATGGCAACAGATTTCTCATGGTAGATATTTAAGAAAAATAATAGGTGTATTTTTTAAATAAAAAAAAATCATGTAATATTTTGCTGCTCTAAAGGATTTTTTATTAGCTGGACTGGCTATTTGGATCTGAAAGGTTGCCGACCCACAATATAGATGTTTGAGTTGATGGTGACATGTTTCTATGGAAGAGGATTAGGGCCACTGAAAGAAGAGATAAGAATTAACAGATTTTTAAATTTTGTTTCAATATAATAACATCCATTTCAATATAACATCCTCTATTTTCTTGTATGTGCAATTTTTCCTGCTACTGGAAATACAATTTCCCGAAGGGAGTAATCCCAAGGGATTAATAAAGTCAAGTCTAAGTCTAAGTCTCTCTATGGGGAAAAAATCTGAATTCTGACTTTTTTTTTCTCAAAATTCAGTTTTTTTTCCTTATAATATACTAAAATAAATTAAAAATTCAGTTAACTTGTTTTTTAGTTGCCCTAATCCTCTTCCGTATGTTTCCTCTTCCCCGTTTAAAAAAAAAAAAAGATCACCCCAGATGGGACTCGAACCCACAATCCCTGGCTTAGGAGCGCCCGGCAAAATTTTGAACGAAGTTGAAGGAGTTTGACAAAAGGGCCAATGGTGTTTCTGTATTCTTCAAAATTTTAATATGACTAACCAATAACGTCTGGGAAAGTTGAACATTTTGATATAACCGAACAATCGCGTTTAGGGTTGAAGGCGGGGTTAAGATTTTAACCAATCGCGTTTAAGCTAGGAAGCTGCTACTGGTACATTGAGGGATTCCCAGTTAGTTATACATTTAGTCTGCGTTGAGTAGAGAAGTTGGTCTTTTTAGCGATATGGTAAGTATCTGACCTTCTATTGCAATGCCGTGTGTGATGAGTTACCACTGGAATCGCGGTCATAGAGTTTTCATTCATCCATTGAGTATCCATCGAGTATTAAAAAAAATAATAATAAAATAATAACAAATATATGTATTAAATGTTATAAAACAGCAGCCAAGAAGTTACAAGTCTGCTGTTTGGGGACAACTTCAAGTTGATTATCATAAAACATAATTTTCACTGATTACAGAGACAAGAAAATGCTAAACCAGCTCAGATGTGATCTGATTAGGTAGTTGAAGTGTACACATTTTGAATTATTCTTTTTATGTTATAGTAAATACACCCATTCATTGAGTGTACTTTCATAATATTGTTATACATACATTCTTTTAGTTGTAATAAAAGCTTTATAAGTGCTTGACTTGCTACCTTTTATTTTTAAAATTCTCTTAAGGCATCAAAATCACACAAGTCAATGCCAGACACTGTCTGGATGGCACGACTGAAGAGTTTTGCTGCCACAGGATCATGGCCTGCAGGGCAGGGAAACAGACCAGCACCCAGACAGAAGAAGTGGCATGAGCTGTATCAAAGGGTATGTTTCTATATATTTTATGTTTACTTCCCAGTTAATATGGCACCGATTGTAACTGCATGAACTGGCTTTTGACACATTCATAAAGATGGGTTGGAATAAGTATGAAATTCAAGAATGATGTCACCACATACAGCAAATGATTTAGTTAAATACAGTGGGCGCTGGTTGGAAATGGACACTTCACTCACGCTCCGCGTGTTTCACATATTGTGTTAAAAACATGTGACTACTATAGCCACTAGGTGGCAGTCTGAGTCCATTTCGGCGTCCCATGAGTCAGATTAGATAGGTGAATGAGCAGACTGGGAGGGGTATGAGTTGTTGCGAGCTGAGGAAATTATTGTTCCCCAGGTTTAGCGTAGAGGGTAAGGTGAATGGGCTGCAATTCCAAAGGTTAAGGGTTCAGTCCCAGCTGTGGTCAAGTTATTAATGTTGCCTTAAATGTTTTTCTTTTTTTTTTAATCACTTGATGGCTTATGATATCAGAAATTGTACAATAACTTCTTTAACTTATTTATATATATTACGGATAGTAGCCTATTATGCTGTTTGACTTTATGGCATCTTTCTTTTATTTAGATCAGCTGATGTGCGCTCCTTTCCAAGGCATTTCATTAGACCATAGGGATTATCATTCTACAGCCTCAATAT